TGCAAATAACATTCGTGTCATCGGCAAACAGAACCGTTCTTCCGTTTTTAATAGCCTTGGGGGCCCCATATTCAATTGATAAAGAATTGCAAAGATAAGTAAATAATGTCCTTTCATGCCAGTACGGTATTTCTACTCTTTGAGATCGATGTTTATGGTACGAAGCAATCCAATCTATGGCGATACCATAAATTTCATAAGAAGGTAATTTCGATAGTAAGATGTTATGTTCAATAACATCAAAAAGTTTCGAAGGATCTAAACATATTCCAATGGTGCTTCATTTTGGTCCATTGATGAAGTAACATCTTTAAGAAAAGAAAAAATAGCAGTTTCCGTAGATTTTGATTCTCTAAAACCTAGTTGGGAATCTGAAAACGCTTCGTTTTTCCCGAGAAAACTTTCCATTCGCGTATAGAAAAACCTCTCTAGTATTTTTGAGAAAACTGACAAAAGATAAATTGGCCGGTAATTTTGAATTTCATTTTTGTTCCTTTTTTAAAAAATAGCTTCATTTTTGCTCCTTTTGAAAACATTTGGAAATATTCCTGGGCATAACAAAGCATTGAAACTATGTGTTAGCGGGTGTATATAGGCACATAAAGGTACATTTAACAGTTTGCCAAAACGTAGCTCCATACAGCTTAAGAACAACACATGAAATATCATCGTATAGCACAATAAATTAAATATTTTAACAAAAGCAATTTTGCAAATACTGCAATAGCATCGAATAGTACATAACGATTCAAAGTACAACAGGTCTTTTACATGCTAACCATATCAAAATAGTTCTTTCCATCATGTTTGCACAGGAAGTGTGAGAGTATGCTGAGTAACACAACCGAATATTTGCGTTTTCAATCAAAATTGAAAATGTTTCACTGTTTTTTGGATTTTTTTTCTTGTTCCTGGGTACCTAAGAAAATCATAGACACCTCTCACACACACAGGCTGCACAGTTTTCTTTCAATTTCCGCCAATTTGGAAATTAGTTTTATTATCATTAATGTTATGAATATAGTCGGAACGATTCATGTTATGTGGAAAAATCAGTATAGCAATTGAGCGCCTTACCTCTGTAAGTGGCATGAAATCCTCAAACCCACGTTTTTCTCTAGAATGCTTCAAGGATATTCCGGTAACAAATTCCAATTGATTCGTCTAGTACAGAGGAGTAGAAAGAGATCTTGATCACCTCTGTTTACTTCTTAAAACACCCAAATATCCCATTTTTAGCACCCCAATATCTTAGAATGTTCTGTAAGGATCCGTAAAAGTCAGTTTCCCACCGATAGACCGATACGCGTCAACCCCCGTCAATAGTGGACTGGAAGAGAACTAACAGTAAGCAACGGGTTGACGGACACAGGTACACACCAAAGCCTCGTGGATACAGCGGCGAGGTTCAGAGATTAAATGGGCAGATAAGTTGATTCATTATTTCGTATTTCCGGGCGCGTCAACTGATATTTTCATTAATACCCTAAGTGTCGTGCATATTATATATATCCGAAGGTGGCGGTATCCCCCCCCTCCGCAAGAACGTGGAATCCGGCGTCGACCTACACGACTTGCGGTCGATTTCCCTCCTGGTATCTCCACCTGCGACCTTCCTCCAGCCTGGACAAGCTCTAAGCTCTTCACTAGTCTTCCGACATGTGCAGACATGTGGCCTCAGCGTCACGCAATGTAAAAAGTGCGAATGTCGGTGATTTTCTTAGGAATCCGCAGTTCTTTTTACTCATTCTGACCACAAAGGACACGGCCTTCTCACATACAATTGTCCTATACATATCCTTCATATGCCAACAACCAATATCTATTTTAAGCTCTTTAGATGTACTTATGTTATTTGTTAGTAAATAATTAAAAATTACAATTTTACATGTGTATTTTATTTGTGTAAGGGATGAGGAGGTGACAAGGATGGCCCTCAGCCATTCAGGTCGCTGTGATGAATTGATGATTTTAACGATAAATGATGATGCAGTATTGGTGGATTGAAAGATAGAAAACGGGAGAACTCTCAGAAAACCTGGCAGAAAACCGCTCTATCCACCGCAAATTTCAAATGGATAGATCGGGTTTGAGCTCGGATGCCCTGACGTGGAAAGCTTGTGACCTGCCCGCTACGCTGTGGAGAGTCCAATGGGAGACTGTGTATAACAAAAATATTGTAAAACATAAGAAGGGCAAATCCCCACAGTATTTTAAAAGATGTCATTTTAAGTTCGGAACCCTTCTTCCCCAAAATTGAAATAATGTTATTAGTTGTTGCTAGAAATATATGTAATCGTATTGTGTGTTCATACAATGCTGTTTTGCGTCGAATATTTTGCAAGTGAAACCGCATTCAATACCTGATTGATGCAGGTTTGATGTATATCTTCGAAAGGAAGGGCACGTTTAGCATATAGCACAACGGTTTTAATAAGAAACAGTATTTAATTTGAGTGGTATTCATTGTATTTAATTTGGAAAATTGATTCAAAATTCGCGATAGTAATTTCCCATCCCTTAATGTCGATAATATGTAGTTGAAATTGTAATGTCATGGATAGCAAATAAATGTGCTCATTACATGACACACAAAATGGTAGCAGGCTTTCTATTTTGTTTTCTGCCGCCAAAATGTGTCATCACTTATGAGATGAGTCTGTACAATTGAATTTTCGAGCATTTTTGTGCAACAGAACTTCAAATTTACTGTCATTAGAGTTTTGTTGAAACATATGTACTTATCTTACATAAAATTTGGGGATACCATTTCCTTTTTATCCAGTTGCACCTCTCGCGATTGCCAAAGAGATATTTGTGAACGATGTGAGATTTTTCCTGCTTGGGTGAGCATAAAAGTGAATGCTCAACCAAAAGTTCAATTTAAATTATCCTAAAACTTAATTAAAGAATAGCATCGTCGAAACTCACCATAAACTAATCCGCATTACTGAAATGAAATGATCATTATTATGCTATGAATTCTTAGTTTTGACCGTATTCTAACTCAAAGCTCTTTCGTGTAAAATTGTAATTTTTAATTATTTACTAACAAATAACATAAGTACATCTAAAGAGCTTAAAATAGATATTGGTTGTTGGCATATGAAGGATATGTATAGGACAATTGTATGTGAGAAGGCCGTGTCCTTTGTGGTCAGAACGAGTAAAAAGAACTGCGGATTCCTAAGAAAATCACCGACATTCGCACTTTTTACATTGCGTGACGTTGAGGCCACATTTTCCGCATTCAAGCGTATTTTAACGGTTCACACAGACATTCTACTTCTAAAAATGGATCAAACCGTTTCATTGGGCAGTTTCGTGATAGAAGCACTAATGAATAGTTTACCAATAAAGTTACAATTGTCATTAGTAACACATAATGGATGTTTTATTTTTTCATTGACACCTGTAATTTTCTAATTAAATTTAATCCAGGCATAAAAACGCATACACTGTTGATATACAAATTATAAATTAAAGAAAACTAAACTACAAATGCTGGGCTAACGCATTATGTCGTTAAGTTGAAAACATAATATTCGAAGAATTAACATTCGTTTATCAAATGACGGTCCCGCTAATGTCGGTCAAGAAACGTCCATCTCAGCGACCAGTCGACGAAGCGGCTATAAGAATGTCAGGAATCTTGTTTCTTTGCTCGAGTCACCTCCGGCCGTTTGATGAACACGTCATGCAATGTCCATCCTCAACGTGTTCTTGCAGCATTATTTTAGTCCGACAGTCCGCGACCGTTAAAGACCTAGTGGTGAAGAGAGACTCAGGATTCCTCCACTTACTGTGTAGTACGTCTTTGGATGACATATTATTGAATTCACGAAGATCTTGGACATACCTTGACCGTTTTTAATGTACCGCGTACAACCTATTAACTGCAATGACTACACTAGCATCATTAGGGAAACTCATAGACTCACTATTGATTGTTTGTAGGTTTTAATATTTTTAAGGGAAGCTGAAACTCGCTAATATCGTTTCTGATGTGCTTTTTGATTAAAATATCATGTAATTTGTCACCAACGTTAGTTTTCAATAGAATTATTACGGCGTCTTTGATTCTAGTTATAAAAATTCCGGACTATTCTCTCGAACACTGAACATTCAGAATATATTTTGGAATATTTGTAATATTGTTAGTACAATATCTTAATAAAGTCTTATTATAATAAAGTGTAATACATTACTTAGTTACAAAGATACATCGTCTTTTTTTGTAATAAAAATGTAATCGGTTTTGTCATAAAGTACAAATATTGATGCGAGGAAGTTCTTTTTTATTAACAGATCCAGGCATTCTATAATGTTTTTGTGTAAATGAATGTACATGCATGTTTTTAATTTGTAATGATCGGGACAATTTATACATTTGAATTGCGTGAGTTAAAAATTGCCTGGGACCAAAATCCCACGGATGTACTAGCGTTTAAATCACATTCCATTACGTCCCCCTCGGACCTTACGCGCAAGATGGCACGCCGTGACGGCGCGTGGCTGCGCTCACCTGGGTAGACGAAGGGGCGGCCCGTGTGCAGCGCGGGTCCGCCTCCGCCTCCGCCGCCGTCGGGGCCCTGGACGGCGGACACGGTCACGTCGAACACCTCGCCCGGGCGGCCGGCGGGGGCGGTGACGATGGGCGGCGGCGCGCCCAGCCCCAGCCCCAGGCCCAAACCCAGGCCCATGCCCAGCGGCCGGCTGCCGCCCGCAGGCTTGTACTCCGGGTCGTCCAGCACCAGCCCGGGCCGCGGCCGGTACGAGTAGCCTGCGCACACACACGACACTCACGCGGGTGGCACTGGCCCCTGTCCACGCACAAACAACGCGACAACAACAGCAGCAACAACAACAACAACAACAACAACAAGAATGCGCTGCAAAAGATTGGGCTCGGTTGTCCCAGAAGTAATTGGGGGGTCTACGGGACATGCCCATAGAACTCATGAAACATTCGAACATTCTAACTGCTCATGCGAGTCTAGAAGGCTGACTACAAAAGACTGGGAACCGCTCAAACGTTCCTAGTAGGTACCTCTAGAATTTCCATGTCCTTGAGTAGGATACGCATACACGCCAACGAACTAAACGCCTGCGGAATGCGTCACACAAATCATAATGATAAGAATAATAATGTAATAACAATAATGTAATAATGATGAGGACGTGTTTATGATAATATTATTATATATGAGAAATATGATTATATATACGCATGATATCACATACGTATATATAAATTATATTTTCTGCTGCAAACAATTTGAAACTAAAAATATATTTTTTCTAGCTCGTTTTCACACGTATTTTACTTTACTTTCAAATGCAATATTTAATATTTATTTGTTTCAACTCTTTTTAAATATTAATTCTGGTTTCATGAATATTACCTGTACTTAAATCTTAATTGTCAAGCTTTTTGCTCTGCTATTTTCGTCTTCCTATGAACCACTTGAACTTAAGCAATTGTCACAAACACCACTTTTTTAGGATTACTAATAACCAATAAGAGTATTTTTAACAGTTCTTAAGCGCGTGTCCTTGAGAAAAAATCGCCTTACCACGTAAACCACACAATAACTAATTATATACAATGTACGCATACTGTGACAATGATAACTGTATTGCGACCAGAAACGAACGTCCTACCGTTTCTTCATTCCCCTCGACTCTCTTAAATGCCAGGAAAAGAAACGAGCGTGCTGATATTCGTACGTATTCTCCATTTTCATCTCCTGCCGTATCGTTGTGCAAGCGCGCGTGGCGTTTCAGCTGGCATCGCACTGTGTCCATGGCGGCGAAGCTTTCCACTCAGGAGAGAAACCCTGCGCCCTCAAAAACGGAACAATGCAACGCGTGCCTCGAGCTCCGGGCGGCTTTCGTTTGGAGCGAGCGAGAAGGGCCGCGCGGCGACTCCAAAGAGCGGGCAAAATTCTCCAACTTACGTCAATTAAACACCAGAGGCGCATCCGGACGGGATGGAACTCGTACCATGCGCATCCCCGAGTGTGTTCGGAACCCATGTAAGGCATGGGGGACTTGGGTGATTACGGCATGGGTAACTTTCTCATACTAACACGTAGCCAATTATCTTCACCATTTTCATTCATTTTTTTATTTCACGTATCCTTTATTTCATCACTATTTCTCTTGGATTCTAAAGACATAAAGGTGTAGGATTCCTACTCTCAAATCCTCCTTCGAAATAAATATGAAACCACAAGCTCAAACACATACGACAAGAAAAATGAGTACATGACATCATGATCGATACTTAAATTTTATGATAGTCCATTATTGTAAACAAGACTATAAACGTGAAGGGAATTTTTAAAATTTTTTCTTCCAATATTGGGAATATTTTTCATTAATTGTTAATGTAAAAAATGCATTTTTTCTTGTTATTCCTCATCTTTGCTTTCTCACTATTTTTTCTAAAAAAATCGTTTCTTTCATATTTATTTTAAATATATTTTAATTGAAGCATGTTAGGAGCAATCTACTTGTCACTTGCCAAAAATGTACACATGTATTTATTATGAAACGTGCACTAATAATTAAAACCAAACAATGGTTTGCAAAGGATAAAAATTCATGAAGACCTGTTTTCCTAACACCTACTAATTATGAATTTTAAGTTAAGTTTTAATATAGATTTTAGTTAAGATAGTGATGTAGGAAGAATTGCAGGACGTACGTTATGTTGTTTATGGCACTGCTCCAGCATCCTTCTGAACAAGAACCTAATACTTTCCAGTAAAGAAATCTATTTTTGAAAATTCCATTGTTTTGAAGGAAGACATTTATGTCCTTTTTTCTCAATTCGGGACATGGGGGACACCTACACTGCCAACAAGGTTGTCAGGCCGTATAAAGCAACGTTGGGACAACGGAAAAAGTGTAGTAGAAGTCAAGGAAACGCAATGCTCTTGACACACAAAACAAAAACTCAGACTGTTAGCTCAGTTGTTTTCTGCTGTTGCGAAAGTATTTCTTTCGTTGGACATTGTTAGGTAACTATTGGAAATACAAAACGAAATTTCGTCCCAGAATTGTTGGGTTGGAACGAAAGTTCGTTCAGTTTCAATGCACGCGCTTAGCTATAACTGTGCCTGGATATAATGTTACTCTCTGTTTGAATCCATCTAATGTGCCGACGGGGTGAATGCTCCCTCAAAAGTAGCGAAATGCTTGTCAGTGTTACAAATTGCAACTAATAAAAAGTCTTGTTCGTCAGTGAACATCAGTCACCATCAAAGCTTTTTCTGCATACGCCTAAAGCATATATTGCAGAACGTTCATTAATGAGACTTATCTTCTAACTTCTACGGGTTCTCGTGGCAGATCCTTAAAGGTGGGTCCGTTTTAATGGACGAGAGGGAAGATCAACTCCGCGTTAGATTGAATGTAAGAGCGATACGGGGAGAAAGACGAAAGTAAAAGAAAGTTATGGGGTCTCATCCGAAATAAATAATATTAATAATAAATAATACAAAATGTCGGCCCTGTGGCGCAGACGGTTGCGGCAGCCGTTGTCTGTGCCGAGGAGGCTGCAGGTTTGAGTCCTGCGTAGACATGGTCGTATTTGTGATTGTC